AAGAAGAAGAAGAAGAAGAAGAAGAAGAAGAAGAAGAAGAAGAAGAAAAAAAAGAAAAAGAAAAGATACAGAAATGCACAGATGCAAAAATGTACCGTATATGTGCCAATGTATATCAACAAGAGGTGGTATTCAGCAGATTCTGACCAGTTCTGGAGAACTAGTTCTGGAAATTTTGAGTAGTTCAGAGAACCGGCAAATACCATCTGACTGGTCCCGCCCCCATCTATTCTCTGCCTCCCGAGTCCCAGCTGATCGGCTGGGTCTTTTTTTGTTGCTCTACACAGGAGAACGGAGCTGGAAAGCAGGTTAGTGGGGTGGGAAGGAAAAGGGATTTTGCAGTAACCTTCCCCCAGGAGTGGGGTGGGAAGGGAAATTTTACAGTATCCTTCCCCTGCCATGCCCACCAAACCATGCCTACCTAGCCAAGCCATGCCAGGCACACCATGCCACACCCACAGAACCGGTAGTAAAAAAATTTGAATCCTGCCACTGATATCAACTTATGTATAGGTGCTAATTTAGAAATAATTAACATAAGATTTTTGTCCTAATCAAGGTCATGATTAATCAAGAGATCCAAGTACCTGCATAGGGTGATTTCCATGTGCTCAGTATTGAAAGGCAACTTGCTGTTCTCATTCTTGATCTTTCATCATAGGCGGCCTACATAACCCTTCAAATTAGGCAATTTGGACCTTTTCCCCCAGACTGGAAATGTATTTGGTTTCTGAGACAGGAAAGGCCAGAACAAAATGCTAAAGCCGATTCAAGGAGCTTTATGTTAAAATCTCATTATATCAGTTAAGAACAATTAAAATTACACCCCATGAATGTAATACTTCTCTCGTTTTCTAACACATTAAAAATGACAATTTGGTGGCAACATTTAGAGGGTTCCTGAGACTGTATGCAATATTTTTGAGAGGCCACTGAAGTCCTGTGCACACTATTGATGAACTACTGAACAGCATCAAATAAAAACTGTCCCCAATGAAGTGGGAAACATATTAATCACCTTATTGCTAATTGATTTATTATCAAGGATGGGTTAGAATTTTCTGCATGTCTGAAATAAGCCACATTAAGGATAAGGTAAAGTAACATCAGATATAGTACATAATTTCTTGCTTGCTTGCCTGTGCATTCATTCTTGACTCTCATGACTGCCTGAATTAATCAGTTTTCTTTGGCAAGTGTTTGTTTCTTGTAGGCTTGATAGAAAGTGATTAGCCCAAAGTCACCCAGTTGACTTCGCATGACTAAGGCAAAATTAGAGTTCACACTCTCCCAATTTCTACCCATATACCAAACTGGCTGTCATGTGTAATTTCTGCCTTTGCTTCATTACCATATTCATTGGCATAAATCAAACATTATCGGCTGAGGAGATAATTTAGACAATAATTTATCTTAGCTAAAATCTGCCTCTCATTGATCTTGTAAGAAGCTGTTACATGTTTGTATTTTGATATCATCAATCTTTGGTTTTAATTTGTGCCATTCAGTATGAGATTTGGCTTGATAAATGTTGAAGAAAATTGCTTATTTAAAACACAGGAAGACAGAACAGAAAAATAATGCTTTTCTGCTTGCTTGCCTGAAAATAGTTGAGATTATTTCTATAGTATCTCTTTGTTTCTCCAGTTTTTTTAAAAAAAACAACAACCCTAAATTTTATTTGAGGTAGAAATATAATGGGATTTCTAAATTGAAGGAAGCTGAGACTTATGCTAGAAATGACTATTTTTTAAAAAAATAAATAAAAATTAACTTACATTAGGTGACTTTCCAACTGCTTAAATTTCAAAAAAGAACATTTAAGACTTTTATTTTATCCATTTATTATTTACATTGCCTGCAGACCTTTTGTTAAATTTAATAAGCATAGTCCACAACAATATTTGGATCCAATAAGATATTAATATTGTTTCAGAAATGAAGATAGGGACATCTGAGCCAGGATCAACTTTTCAGATAAATAGACAGGTTTATATAGGCTTATAAAACTAAAACCAATATGAAAGGAGAAGAGGAAACCTATGGAGGTGTTTTTTGTCTTCAGATTACTCCTTAAGAATAACTGGCAGCATATTCAGGCTATAGATGATACCTCTCTTCAAAACTCAAACTGTTAACTTGTGGAATATAGTAAGCCTAGGTGTAGTGATGATTATTAACTTAGAGAACTTCCAGCTAATGAAAGCTGCCTGTTTCCTGGGAAAATCAGGAAATCCAAGCAGTTCAAATGAATATAAAGGTTACTGAAAGCTTAAGGTCGCCACAAGAATCTGTACTATGAAGGGTCAAAGCAAATTCATGGTAGATAAGAGTCAGTGGATTCCAGGTGGGCTGGACTTTCAATGTGTTTGGGCGTGAAGGGACTTAAGATTGATTATGTGTTTGACCCCTCTCTTGGGCTCAGCCTGGTCATCTACTACAGCAAAGCTAGCTGAAGAATTCTGGGAATTGAAGTCCACAAGTCTTAAGGTTGCCAAGGTTGGAGACCCCTGATCTACTACACTGACCCTACTAGTCAAAAGACTTCCTGTACCTTACCTTTCTTCCTGGCTGTCTGCTTCTGAAAACACAGCCATTTGATAATAGTCTTAAAGCACCTTTCTTCCTTCTTTTTCCTTGTAATATTTATTTCCAATGAAATTAGGAATCGGGAGGCTTGTGAATTAGTAACTCTTTGAGATATTTAAACTCAAGGTTAACATTTTTGCATCTTTGTTTTGGAATGGGCAATTTTTTTTAAAAAAAAATGCAATTTTACCTAAGAGATTAAGGGTTTAATTATAATGTAAGGGATTCAGTTTTAAATGCTAATAACTTATAACTTGCTTCTAAATTTTACTTAAATTTATGTTTTACTTCAGCCTTAGACAGTTTGCTTCAAATATTGTTTTCTTTTATTTTAGACATGCTTAAAAGAGAGAAGATCTTCTGATCATCCTAAATCTGAAAAGCAAATTCTGGCTTTATAGTACCTGTTGAAAGAATGGTTTCTATTACCCAATATTGGACAGCATTGGGAAAGACAATCTTATCAGTTACTGGTAATTTGGTGGTGCTATCAAAGCTCTTTCCTGATAATTTGGTGGTGCTACAAGCAGCTCATCAGTAATACTATCTCATCAAATAGATATTGTCACAATACTGTAGATGAAGGATAAGACTGCATAATTGCCTTACTAGTCTGGTACTCTTTAGGTTGGGACTACAAGTCCTCACATTTCATGACCGGTGAGTATTTTGTGACTTTTCAGGATTATCAGATGTAGTTTCAGATCTGTACAACAATCTAAATGTCCCTCCCTACCAATCACTCACTGCAATTATTGGTAGCTTTTAATTGCACCAACTTCTGGATTCCTCCAGTTATGATAGTAAGGCAAAGAAGAACTATCACAGCAAGAAAAAACTCCGCAATTACTCAGTGATTGAAGTCTTATCAGCTGGGATCTCAATTCCCTGTATGGATTTGAAATCATGTCTGTCAAGGCCCTTTGTATTGTATCATATACTTAGTAAGAAAAATTCAGAGAACATTACAGGTATTCCTTATTCAATGACCACTCATTCAATGACCATTCAAAGTTATGATGGCTCTGAACAAGCAGACTTACAACTGGTCTTTGTATTTGTGGCCCCTGGAGCATCTCCATAGCTAATTGCACACAGCAATTAGCTTGCAGTTACAACGGTTGTAGCATCCTATGGTCATCTGGTTGCCATTTGAATCTTCACTGCTGGTTTCCAACAAGCGAAGTCATTGAGGAGGCCAGCAGGAATTCCAAATAGTAATCATGTGGCATCTTGCCTAATGACCATGTGGGATTTACTTAATGATGGCAACTGGAATTGCCACAACTGCTAGTGTAACTTGCCACGTTCATGTGATATTACACTTTACAACCACATTGGCATGGTTAATGATGGAATTGCCAATCCCAATTGCTGTCGTTAAGTGAGGACGACTGTATTTCATTTCTTACAAGATGAATATACCTGATTGTCACATTGTTTTCTTTTTAATTTACAAAAATATGCTATAATGTTACTTTAATGTACTTTAACTTAGCAAATAAATAAATATGCTGACAGATAAAGGCAGAATGCACCAATTACCACTGCAAGCAAGAGGAAAATCTTCTACACACAAAATCTACCCATGCCTTCTATAACTTTGTAAACACCAAACTTAAAGACTCAAAAACCATCCCACCCCTAAAAGGTCCTAATGGGAAAGACTATAGCAATGAAGTCATTAAGGCAAACCTCTTCAATACGTTCTTCAGTTCAGTCTTTGTAAACAGTAATGGTTCATGCCTCACATTTCCTAATTGTACGACAACTAACTGCAATGTGATCTACAAATTGGCTTTACTAAAGATAACAAAGAAAATGCACTATGACACCTAAAACCATCCTTATCTATTGGCCCTGATGGCCTATGTACATTCTTCTTTAAAAAGCTCTCCACTATCATAGCAGAACCCCTAAGCATAATATATGAGATATCATTCAGAACCAGCTCCTTACCAAACCTATGGTCTGATGATGTAAAACTATTCAACACTACCGTCAATGCTACCGTCCTTCAAAAAGACCTTGATTATGTGTCTGAATGGTCTAACAGTTGGCAACTCCAAATCTTGACCAACAAATGCTCTGTCCTATACATTGGTAAAAAAAATCTATTTGCCAAATACAAGCTAGGCGGATATGACCTTGTTGATGACCCTCACTCTGTCAAGGACCTTGGAGTTCTCATATTGAATGATCTAAGCGCCAAAGCTCACTGCAACAGTATTGCCAAAAAGTCTTTAAGAGTTGTAAATTGAATTTTATAAAGCTTCTCCTCTGGTAATACTGATTTGCAAACTGGGGCATTCAAAACCTTTGCTAGACCAATATTTGAATTCAGCTCATCTGTCTGGAATCTGCACTATATATCAGACATTAATACAATTGAGCGAGTCCAGAAGTATTTCACAAGAAGAGTATTACACTCCTCTGTTCGCAACAGAATACCCTACACCACCAGACTTGAGATTCTAGGCTTAGACAACCTTAAACTACACCGGCTAAGATTGGTCTTAAGCATAGTACACAAAATCATATGTTACAATGTCTTACCAGTTAATGAATATTTCAGCTTTAACCACAACAACACAAGAGCACACAACAGATATAAACTTAAGGTAAACCACTCCAAACTTGATTGCAGGAAGTACGATTTCAGCAACAGAGTTGTCAATGTCTGGAACTCACTACCTGATTCTGTTGTCACCTGCTCAAACCCCCACACTCCTTTACCCTCAAACTAACCTCTATTGACCTCTCCCCATTCCTAAGAGGTCTGTAAGGGGCATGCATAAGTGCACAATCTTGCCTACCGTCCCTGTCCTATTGTCCCCAATTATTAGTTCTTATTTCTTATATTTAAACTTATGTTTATTCTTATTTCTATTGTATTGTAAGCTTTTGACAAAATAAGTAATAAATTTTAAAAAAGTGATTGAACCACCAGATTCCATATCCAGATATAAAAGGAATTACAGTATATAGTTACAATTTAAAATGCATCTTTCATGAAGTGTTTGATACATGTGTACACTAGGGCAGTGGTCCCCAACATTTTTTGTACCATGGCCCGGTACCGGCATCACAAAATGATCCATGGACCGGTACTGGCATCAGCACGCACGACCAAGGCAAGGCGAGCCGAGCGACCAGCCAGCCAGCCGCCCCCCGCTTCTCCCCGCCACCTTCAACTCCTCCTTTGTACCTTCTCGCGGTCGATGGGCTTTTTGGGCTCTTTCTTAATCTCCTCCTGAGTAACGCGATACTCCACTGCCATTGGGACAGCTCTTCATTCGAAGCCGCCCACCCCTTCGACGAAACTAAGGCGCGAGTATTCCTTCAGCACCCAAACGCCGCTTTCCAACTGACGACCGACAAGCTCACCCGGAAGCACTTTCTCAAGCACCGTCGAAACAAGATGGCGGCGCCCAAGCAAAGTAGGCGGCCCGGTACAGAATGATCCACGGACCGGTACCGGTCCGGGGCCCGGTGGTTGAGGACCCCTGCACTAGGGCACACTATTTATTTGGGGCGGTCAAATCACTATTTATTTGGGCCAGTCAAATCAACCTGTTACTTACTGAAATTGTGGTGTTCAGAAAAATGATTTCTCATAAGAACCTTCTCTTAAGAAAAGAGGATTAAATACCTGCAACAGAATTTATATTCATTAAAAAAGAGACATGGATACATGAACTTGAATATCATTTTCCTATTGCTAATTAAAAGTGCCTTCTCCATGGCTGCAGCTTTGGTATCAAAATCAGAACAACTGAATGCCCTGTTTCAAACATGCACTGATTACCTGTGTATGAAAAAAAGAGCTTTAAATAATCATTTCTCCTTTCCAATTTTAAGCATAGTCAGAGAATAGACTGTTGCTTAATTTAACTCCAGCTTGCCTATCTTTGTACCTTTCACATGTTCTTGACTTCATCTCAGTAGCTTGTAGAGCATTTAGTCTTACTTGACCATAACATCTTGTGGAAGTAGAAAGAAGTAGCTTTGAGTGGAAATTACAAAGAATTATGTGGCAAACATTGCCATAGCCTAGTAAAACTTTCCCAGCGTGTTGATTTGGTGAGGTACCATTTATCATCCAGGAGATTCTTTAGCATGGGTTAGTTGCCTGACAAAAGTGAAAAGGTCAAAACAGATAGCGGAAGGCGGAAAGGGTGGTTTTATTTTCAGATGCATAAACATGAAATATCTGAACGAAAAACAGCATTTCAATTCTATGTATCATATTCAAAAATAAATCTCAGTATATACACTGAGCTTATTCTTGTGGAAGAATGCTGAAGACTGGGTGCTTATTTGTCATGTCTTCCTAGTGAAACTATTGCTAATAATTGTTGAGTATAAGCTGCATGAGTTGTATTTATCCTTGGTCCATCGGTATAAATTAATTTAATAAAATCACTGTTTAAGTGCCATTCTCTCTTATCCTTAAGAGCAAATATTAAAAACAGGCAAGGGTTCTTTGGCTCACTTTTAATAGAACAAAACATGATACAGTAATAGTTTTCTCCAAACGCTACTGATATCTAGTAACCTTCTAAAAATTACATTGCTTTTGCGGGGATTAAAACTGATTTTTTTTCCCCTCATCAGTATGCCAGGAAAACCATGTTAGGAAATATTATGACTGAAAGAGGCTACATGTCTACACATATTTTATATACCTTCTTTTTTCTCCAAATAACTGCAGTAGGTATACAATTCCAATTCTTATATCCAAATTCGGAGTTCTGAATAACACAGTAGTAAATATTAGATAATCATATTACTGTATCTTACCTTGATTAGCCATCAATTCTGCAGTAATCTACAAGTAGCAATAAAAATACTGAAGATCGTTATGCAAATCCCATTTTTTAATGAATTCAAGTCAGCATGTGGTGAATAGTAGAATTTAAATCTGCTTTATAAGTAAGCTGAACAGTGATTCTTCTGGGTTAGACCATATGTATATGTCCAAAGTACACCTTAGTCCTCTATTTAGTTTTTATTGTGATCCAAGAGAAATAGACAATTATCAGTCCTTTTGCATACCTGTGGGGAGAATTCAGGATATGAAGACTGCAATTTGAAAAGCTCCTGAACTAATTGAGCAATGAATAAATAGAAAGATGGGGAAATCAGGATGGTAGATTAATTAGGAGAGGAGTAAATCAATCAAAAGGCAGGGATTTGACTATCTTGGACGTATATTGGATGCTAATTGGTTTGTTTTCTCCACAATTTTGTGTAATTTGAAAGGCTGTACAATAAAAAGAGACAAGATGAAAAAGCAATTTTATGCTTGTGAGTCAAAATGTAGGCATCGTCATAAAGAGCTACAAAGATAACTTTGGAGAAAGTATGCAGCAAGTGTTATAAAAATGTGTTTTAAGCCTGTGAAAAAAAGAAAACATTAAAAAGAAACTTAGATGGTTCTACTTAATTTCTTGGGATAGAAGAAGAAGGAAGGGAAAACACAGTCAAGCTTTCAAAATTTGGTTACTGTAGCCTATATCAGGGTTTCTTAATCTTGGCAACTTGAACATCTGTGTATTTTAACTCCCAGAATTCCAAAGCCAGCATGATTGGAAGGGGAATTCTAGGAGTTGAAGTCCAAACATGTTCAAGTTGCCCAGGTTGAGAACCCTGTCCTATATCAATGGATGACCTACCTTGAACAGTTGACAATTAAAGTGTATGCATATGGCAACCTTGAGGCTGCAACATCTTGAAGCAGTCATGAAGAATAACTGCCTCTGTCTATAAGGCCAAAACTTCACTGAGATTTATCTACTCTATGAAGATTCAGAAAGTATCTCCTTATCCGAGTACTGGCACAATGTAGAATTAAACTGAGGATACGTCATAGAATTTTGTACAGTAACCACTTGGTAAAATCCAGTTCAGAGTACGCTATTCCTCCATTTATACCTTGAAGCTACTTTCTGAAAAATAATTGGCACAATTCTCCTTTGAGTTTCAACTCAATGGAACTGATGCACTGAATCTGCACATCAAACCCGAACCATTGAAGCATTGGTTATGGATACTTTAGCTACTTCACAAACGGAAGCTGTTAAATATTTATGCCTACATTCCAAAGTACCATATATATTTATACCATGGTGTGAAATTTTGATAGATGACAAAGTAACTAAAAATTCTTTAATTAGAAGGGGCTTAATATTAAAAAAGGCACATCTTAGCTGTTTCTTTCTTTTTTTTTAATTTAAAGGGTTTGTGGCTCCTAAAAATTGAATGACCTGAACTATAATTTTACCACATTTTTGACTATAACTATCTTCTGTGACTAGACATATCTACTAATGTTTTAATAGTGGGGAAAAAAGTAATGCTAATTTTTGCAATAATTCCTTAATACTTGCTAAATTTTCCTCCTTTGAACAGTTAAAAGAGTTAGGGTCTTTGCCTTTCCCTAGATTTAGACGTCTTAGTTTATGTGTCCTTATTTTGCCAGTAGTATTATTGTGAGAGTCACAGGCATAGCTTCCAAATCTGTGTACAAGTAGTCCTTGACTTATAAAAGTTCCGTTAGTGACCATTCAAAATTACAAAGGCACTGAAACCAGTGACTTATGACCGTTTTTTTTACATTTACAACCATTGCAGCTTCACCATGGTCACATGATCGAAATTCAGGCGCTTGGCAACTGACTCATATTTATGACGGTTGCAGTGACCCAGGTCATGTGAACATCATTTGCAGCCTTTTGACAAGCAAAGT